ATCGACGCAGGAATGTCGAAAGCAGGCAACACAATATCGAAATGGTTTCTGACATGTCGAGTTTCCCGCAATGAAGCTGCGGTCCCAGGACATCCGAGTTAAAGAGGACTTGATGGGAAGGTCAATGAGTTGGTCTGGACTCTGACGAGTGGCCTTTGCCGGAGCCGTCGTCTGTCGCATATCGATGAGAGAAGATTGGTGTATTTGGTGTGTGCATGACTACCTCACTAGTCACGAAGAGTAGTTGAGTTGCTGGACTTCGGCGACTGCAGCGATTGCCGGGTCGTTCTCTCCGACCACGTTGAAGACTACGCCCGGCTTAACACATATGACGGTTGACGATCTCATTCGTCGTTAAGAACTTTATCTCGATTGGGCAGGACGCATTTATTGACATAAGAGAGCATGCCTGTGGTGATTATCGATGAACAACTGTAGGGATTCCAGAGGTGGATGTCCGTAGGGGAGATGAAAGAGCTAGAGTAAAACTAGTAGTCGTATTTAAGCATAAATTATCTCTAAAGGTTATCTGGGACAATATGCCTTGCTTACACATGGGTGCCATTCGAGAGATGCGGCGAGGGTGTTTTGCTTATAGTCTATGTATTATGAGCACCGTGTGCAGCATCTCCTGCATGCACGTGATTCAACGATCTCGACATTCAAAGCGCTTTCCTTGTATGTTCCTCGCGTATTAGGTAGTTTTGGGGAATATAGTCCGCTGAACATTTCAGTGGGAGGTTTGGTGAGAACACGCGCCGACGGGGTGATCTGTGGGCACAGATACCGAATTGTTCCGAGCTGACCACTGCTGGTGTTGTTATTACGATTTGGCCATGGACAAGACGCTCGCTTCGCATTGCTGGGGCTCTAGAGATGCAACACGTTTGGGGAACTTAATTGTGTCTAACATGTGACAGCAACCCTTCCTTTGAACCTAGACATCAGTCATAGCGAAAGCTCTATAGCTGGCGTAGTATTTAAAGTCTGAGCTAGTGGAATATCGTGGACCTCAACCAAATGAATTGCCGTTCACAATCTTCAGGTCTGATTGAACAACCGTCGCGGAAGTGGCATCCCGGCAAATAAGACAGCAACCTGACTTTGAGATGCTAATGCTGCATCACTATCACCACGTCTTCTAGGCTTCATCTTCTACATTGTATTCAGTAATTATTCCCGGAGGTATTCTGCAGATCACGTTAAAGCGACCTTTCATCGACGGATCTATGGCTCCTTCAAGAATTGTTAGTTACACACAACCTCCTGTCTGCATTGCGACCCTGTGTCCATGAAGATCTTATTGATACAGATCTAACGGCCGGAACATTCTATGCGTAACTCTCTCTGTGCTGAGAAAGGGCTCACCGATTTATAGATCTCGGAGCCTCAGGTCTGTCGGCCACACCCCCGGGCAGGCGACTTCCCAACTGCCTTTAGATGGTGCTTACTACCTGCTTATAAAAGCACGCGCCTGGTCTATCTGACCTGCGGGACCAGACGGGCCATTAAGGCTCTCGTGGCTTGGAAACGCCACCACACCAGAGATGACTCCTCAACCAAAATGGCCTTCCCAAGAGGTTCTCACGGCCACAAGCACGAAAAGTTCTGCTGCTACCCTGTGCCCATCCCTCTTCCTCTTCCTACAACCCAAAAAAATTCAGAAAATATTTAATACGTCTAGGCCAACAGGTATCGCTACCTCTTGTCAATTTCAGCACCCATAATTCGACGATCCAGTCTCACTTTGGACGACCCTGCTGAAAAATGGAGCTCCGTTCAAGAATCATATACGCGCCCAAGGACATCAATCATCTGCGATGGGCGGCCTTGCCTGCGGAGATTCGACTGATGATTCTGGAGCAAGTTGAGATCGGAAATATTAAAGCGCATGATTTGTCGAACTGGGCAAGGGTCTCAAGGGAATGGCAAACATTCTTCGAACCACAGATTTTCCAACACCTGAAGCTTCAATTTCCTGGTTCCGATATCGACGAGCTGAATTCTTCTGTTCACGGCTATCGAAGAGATCTCGTCAAGAAGATCTCACTTCACGTAAGAACTGAAGAGTACGATAATGTGGACAGGTTCGACGAAGAAGAGAGCCAAGACACGATCAAGGCGAACAATAAGCTGTTCAGTCAGGCCCTGAAAAAGTTATTTGTCTCTCTTTCGGCATGGTCTAGTGGCTCGCCTACAGGTGGTATCAAATTAAGCTTGAGCGCCGACTCTCCGAGCGATTTAGGCCACCCTTGGAAGCATCGCACAGACACTGAGAGGAGTCAACATGATAGGAGACGTATTTACTCCTTGAAGTCCAGGCAGCCTCTTCTTGGCAACTTACTAGACGCCAGCTCTGGCGCTCTCAAGCTTCCTCAGGTCTCCGTCGTCAACAGGTTTGCCGTAAATCAATATCGCTACAGAAGCCTGTCGAGGGCATTACTTGCGAAAGTTCTTCATAGCCTTCCCCGTCTCAGAATTATCAGATACGAGCCATGGCACGCGATTACTCGAGACGAACAGTTCCCCCGCGATGAGGCAATGATTATACTGCTTGAATGCGCGAGCGAACTTGCCACGATGAAATCAGTGCACATTTGGGAAGCGCAGTCTTCACTACATGAAAACCCACGTTTTTTTAGGCTTTGCAACGACTACCTCGTCTCTACAGCGGTGAATGCAAGCTATCGTCTCCGATATTTTTCTCTATGTCACGGTGTTGATGCCAGAGACTTTTTCCAGCATGCGTCGAGAGATATGCCGGCGAATTCTTCTGAGTCATCAGATGGTCTTCGAATCTGGCCAATCCTCGAATACCTGGCCCTGACGACACATATTGGAGACCTGGTATCCAGCCGATCAGCGCTGGAACGCCTGCTTCTTCAAGCAAGCCGGGCTGCTGTGCGCATGCCTTTACTGAGGGTGATGGAAATCTGGGCCCCAGGCGCCGGTAAAGGATTTATCTTCAGATATCACGTTCGAAAAGGCTCGCCGTTGCTTACCGTGATAGCGACATGGCAGATCGCATTGAGCAAGGAGGCTTTAATGTCATGGAAACAGGTGGCAGCTGGCTGCACAAAACGCGAATTCACCTGTGACATGAAGCTGGTGGGGTCGGGAACTACGATGTCGGACTCACCCTATGCGCTTTATCATCTGTTAGAATTAGGTCCACAACTGAGGGAGTAGGCACGATTTTCGAATTTGTAGAGGTAGGTTCACATAAATATCGCTAGCTTATGTATATGGATCAACTCCAGGGACGCACATCGAACTTCTCTCATTTTGGATGACTATGTGCATTGTAGAAGATGATCATGAGAATAACGACGACGACGACGACGATGACGATGGACGATGATGACGAACGGCGCCGAAGATTAGGGCAATAATGACAATAATAACGGCAATGACGCTTGTGAGTAACGTTTAATATAGCTTATAGTTAGGTACCCGCCCGGATAGCCAGAAGTATCTGCCCGGATAGCAAAACTATATGTATTTCCTGGAGAAGATGGCTAAGTAATTGAGTATGATATCTTTCAAGAACTTATCACCGCTGTATGCTTTTCTTGATCTTGTTTTCAATGCATTCGTCATTTAATGACCAACACCTTGAGCAAGCAGAGTTATCGTGGAGGCACACTAGATCATCGATGAACATGCCGTATCGTTCAACGCGAGATGCATCCTTAAAACCAACTGATGACTCTTTTGACATAGCTAATTTGGTAAGGGCTCCTTTTCACTTTCAATTGAAAATGCTGCTCCCAGCTGAGCAGCTTTAGACTCGAGCTTGTCAATCATAGGGCACTTCACGTGTCAATGTGGGTGTCCTCGAACGTTTTCAGTCTACGTCCCAAGATGGTGTGTTCTCCGACGAAGAATCGCGAAATCAAATGCTCAGCTTTGTAAACTCACATGCATTTCTTCGGGCTCGATCACATTCCATATCGTGTTTTTTCATTGCCGGTCAGGACTCAGCTACTCGGCGAGCTGTGTCTTACCACAGCTCCGCCTTTACCGTTTGCAACGGATTGCAAAGAAGCCTTGGCAACCCACTATAAAACATTTTGTCTTGAATGTCAAGACATTATCCGAACTCTATTTACGAGTTGTCATTCAAAGTTCAGCTCGCCTTCTTGACGCCTCACATTTTCCATCACGTTCAGGGATGCCTGAACAGAATTTTGATGGAGATGGAAAAAAGCATGGTGAGGGGATCTGCCAGCACTGAAAGCTGGATAACAACTCTTTGAAGATGTTTAGGCTTCTATATTCACCCTGTCGTGAGGATGTAGTTTGAGAGGTGTCAAGTGCTGAATGCTGACATGGTCCAGAAGCTTCTGTTAGCTAACCCGCTGCCGTTAGTATGCGGCCTGATAGCGTAGACTGCGAGCTGTTTTGCGTCTTAGATATGGCATGGAAGCTGCAAAATCTTCTCTGCTATCTTCAGGTTCACATGTTAGGTGATAAGGCCGACAACGTCGATCTCATGAGTTCCTTCAATTTTGCCCATGAAAAGTTGCTTTCAGAGTCCCTACCCTAGCGTTATGACAGACATTTGAATAGCTTCCTAACATGTCTCAGCCTAAACCTGTCGTTCCTCGCGCTGTCCGAGCCTCCGAGACTTCACATGCTGACATGGCAAACAGACATGCAATAGCAGCTTCCATCTTATCACGACACAGAAATTTCTCATTCCTTCATTGCCAAAGTATCAGAGGCTGGCGCATTCACATGCTTTAAGACAGCTTTGCGACCCATCTCAGCCGCACCTGAATTGAGAATTTGTTCTGTAGCAGACTGGAACTTAGCAATGAGACAACAACAAACCCCCGCAGCGGAGACTCCCGACGGCCCGTCCCCGAAGAGGATATCGAGGAGTGAACTTCTATATAAAACCTATTGAGGTTTCTCGGTCAGGATTGGGGACTATTGGCACACAGCATCATTTCTGAATTCAAGGATTTCCTGGTTACTCTCACATTTGTTTGAACATGAGTCCTACGCTTCTCACGTCGGTTGTGGGACATCTCAGTCGGAGATTCCTGCCATCGGATCTCACATTTGGCCAGCCTCCGCAACATTTGGACGAGAAGCAGGTCGAAAAGGACCCTGCTGACGCCGCACAGCGTGAGGGGCTTCGTCGCAAGCGAATCATCATCTGCTGCGACGGCACCTGGCAGTCTTCTGCCACGGGTCGGAAGAATGTCCCCTCCAACGTCACACGCCTCGCACGATCCATTGCCCGAACCGGGAAGATGAAGGCCAAAGATGGTAACGAGGTTGACTGCGAGCAGGTGGTGTACTACAGCCCAGGTATCGGCACCGGCGACGGTGTCAACATTGTCGAGAGGGCCCGCCAGGCCACCTTTGGCGACGGGCTTGTATCCGATGTCATCAAGGCTTACTCATTTGTCGTCATGAACTATTCCAAGTACGATGAGATCTCTTGCTTCGGCTTCTCTCGAGGAGCCTATACCGCCCGCGCGGTGGCTGGCCTCATCACGGATATCGGCATCATCGAGCCCCGGGAATTGGACGACTTCCCTGAGCTCTATGCTTTGTACCGCAAGTGCGGCAGCAATGATAGCTTCGGTTTTCGCCAGTCTCCGGAGTACCGAGAGTGGATCATGGGCGTCAGGAAGAAGGGATACAAGTATAAAGACACGGACGGCAAGAAACTAGACAACCACTGGGAGCAGGTACCTCACACCTTGCCTGCCGAGTTCACCAGAGTTGTTCACGTGGTCGGCGTTTTCGATACAGTGGGTGCTTTGGGAATTCCGTACATGGCCTGGACTCGAGAGATAAGCAACTTCTTTGCCAGGACCATCCCATTCTTTGGCGTTGATGAATATGGATTTCACAATCCTTCGTTGAGCAGGTGTAAGTCAGGCGTACCGCTTCTATCTCGGTTATTTCACTGAGGCTGATTTTGAAATACGCAGACATCAACCACGCATTCCATGCTCTGGCACTGGACGATAAGAAGACAGCCTTTACTCCGACTCTATGGCGTCTTCCTAAGGATCACCAACAAGCCCCTGAATTTCATCATGAGACGAGGGTAGAGCTCGTAGAGAAACTCAGGAGACTTCTCAATGTCAAGCATCCCAATGAAAAGACAAAGGAGGCTATCAACAAAGCGTGGGCTGCCATGGTAGAACGCGAGATGTGGGATCAGTTGAAGGATGAGACGTCGACAGATAACAGGCCGAAGTTTCACAAGCCGAAGCTTCAGCAAGTTTGGTTCCCCGGTAGCCACCAGAACATCGGAGGTGGCAATCCTGGCATTCTACTGGGAGCGCCATACGACTGTGAACGTAAGTACCTCTTCTCTCTGAACGCTGATAGTTCGCTGACCACATCAGAACTCGCGCTTGTCTCCTTCACCTGGATGTGCGATCAAGTGCGCCCCTTCCTCCATTTCGATGACGAGAAGAGAGACGAAGCAAATGACGACGGCCCGGAAACCTTGTCAACCCTTGCAGACCGTGAGATTGAGTCACGCAAGAAACTCATCGAGTTTTCGCAGCAGTCTCAAGACATCCAAAGCAAAGTCGTCAAATTCGGCCGCTACTTCCTGGGCCTTTTCAACTTGGTGAAGACTGGCGAGGACAACCAGGACTGGGCCTTGGGACCCATTATTGGGGATACGACCTTCATCGAGGGCAGGTTGCTCTTGGTTTCGATCTTCCGCTTGGTCCTGCGCTTCCTCTTTGACTTGTTCTTTGGCAGGGTCTTTCACTTCCTCTTCAACGACAGGACACCTGGCGAGTACACACTTGACGATCATCAGAACGAAGCTGGAATCACCAACGAGAAAGTCCATCCTGCTGTTAGATATCGCATGGAAAAGGATTCCCGGTATCGACCAGGTGCTCTGAAGTCCTTCGAGTCGGAGAAGAAATTCGCCAAAGTTTCTGGAGGAAATGAGTATGTGTACAAGTGGGCGAAGGGGAATCTGACCCTTCCGGAATATGTCATCAAGCCTGATGATCATATCTCGCGCCAGCTGATCAGTCAATCTAAGAAGGGAAACCAATGGATAAAAAACCTTTGAGAGGTTGCTACGTTGGGAAATTGAACTCACGGAACAATTCTCGCTGTCGAGAAGCAATGTCCTAAAGGACATGGCATAATCTCTTTTGTACTAGGATGTCCTTCGGTTGCAGTTTCAATAGCTTGTTTTCAATCAGAATGAACCTAGACTGAGTTATCCAAGAACAGGCCTCCGTCGTCCTACCCTTTGCCGCTCTCATTATCTTTACTTACTTCCCAGAGTTTATTGGATTGCCTCTTTAGCACTTGCCCTAACCTTACTGTAAGTGCGTGGCTATATTTCCCCGTGTAGTCAGTTGTGCCTATTAAAGACGACAGTAGAAATAATAATAATAATAATAACGACAGTAACGACGACAGCGACGATAAGGGCGACGACGACAGTAAGGTAGAGTATATTGCCTCAAGAAAAGTAGTCATGGGCACAGGAAAAATAGGCGGTCTCTTGCAACTGCAGAGGCTATATAGAGATGACAGCGACGAGTTCTGTCTTCAAGAGATTATATTTCTATATCAAAATTCAGGGATATCTATCGCGGCGCTGAGAAATGCGTTTCTACATCTAATTCTATTATGCTAATCCCTATCACGACTTCGGCGCCTCGGCCTTCTCCTCGCTCGCAACCTTCCCAGCCTTCCGGTGCCTCCATTCCCTCGCCAAGAAGGTCAACGAAACACACAGTCCGAGGCCAGCCAGGCCGATGCCCATGTACATCGCGCCCCTGAAGCCGACAAACTTGTCCTCTGTCGTCTGCGCCCCGCGGTTGACGTGGACCTCCACGGTGCCCGCGAAGCCCACTCCCAACGCGATACCGTAGTTGACGACGGTGTTGACCAAACTGGCACCAATACCCTGGTGCTCCCGCTTCACAGCGTTGGACAAGATGAGCGTCGCAGCGGGAAAACTCATGTCCATGCCGAACGGCATGATGAGCATGGACACGAAGATCTGCGCCCAGTAGATCTGGTTCTCGGGCGCCGTGGCCGTTAGGATGACACCGGTGGTGAACGCAACCAGGGCCATCGTCATGACTACCGCAGGACGGACCTTGAGAGGGCCGAGGAGCTTGCCGGTGATCACAGCCGCGATACCACCGGTGACCACAACGGGCGAGAACCACGCGCACGTCAACAGCGGCGACAGAGTCCGGATCTCCTGCAGGATCTGCACCAGGTACAGCGTCCACACGCCAAAGGTCGCCCATCCACACACGACAGCCGCCAGCACGAACGCGACGTCGGCGTTGACCGCGTCGAACGGCAGCAGCGGCTTTTCGGCGTACTTGAACTCGATCGCCGCGAAGACGCCGAACAGGATGAGGCCGAGGATCAGCGGGACCAGGACCTCGGGCGTCTTCCAACCGACGATGGGCGCCTGGTTCCACGCAAAGTTGAAGAGCACCAGCGCGACGATGCCGGTGACGGCGCCGGGGATGTCGAGCTCGACCATCATCTCCTGCAGGCCCCGCGGCGGGCCCATCTTGCGCTGCGGCTCGGGGATGATGAAGAAACCGGCGACGGCCAGGATGGCGAGCCAGATGGAGAGCGCCCACAGCGCCCACGGCCACCATTCGAGCTCGAGCACGGAGGCGATGGCGGCGCCGCAGACGCCGCCCATGGGGGCGACGGCGCCGAAGAAGGAGAAGACCATGGCCTTGCGGTGGCCAGGCGGGTAGGCGGCGCCGAAGAGGGCGAGGGCGTTGGGCAGGCAGATGGCCGGGCCGATGCCCTGCAGCACGCGGGAGAAGACGGCGAGGGTGAAGTTGGAGTAGACGCTGAGGCCGGCGATGAGGGACCAGACGGAGAACCAGGAGAAGCCGATGATGAGCATGCGCTTGTAGCCGAAGGCGTCGCCGAGGCGGCCGGAGAAGAGGATGAAGGTGCCGACGGTGAGGGAGTAGCCGGCGACGAGCCACGCGAGACGGGCCGGGTTGTCGACGTGGAAGGAGCCGCCGATTACGTGCAGGAGGACGAGAGTCTCCATGTATGCGGCCTCTGGATGTTTGTCTCAGTCAATCATATTCATCTTACATGATGTAGAAGAGCCATTGATAGCTAGCTATGAGAGATACTCACGGGTGCAGAACTGCGCCATGCAGCAGATAGCTACAAAGAGCGCTTCACGGGGGAACGACATCGTCGTCACGGGCCAAACCTCGGAGGCATTGGTCTGCGTCGGCGCGAGGCCGTCGCCGTTGTCGTCGGATTCATCGCGGTTCGATTGGTCTGGCGAAGCGCTTGAGTCGTCCGGGATCGGCTTGTCTTCTTTCGTCATGTTGACATCAGGGGTCGCTGTTGCGGTCCTGTCTCCGGAGAACGAGTCGGCGCTCCTGCGCGGTTGCTGGTGCTTCTCAGACGCCGAAGGAGAAGACATCTTGTCGTTGTTGTCTGGTTCAAAGCTTCCGAGTCCTCAGAGAGAGGAAACCAGGCGGCACCAGCTCCGAAGGGGGGTGGGAAGAGGGTGAGTTGAAGTAAAGAATGATCTACCCGTAGTGAAGGCGGCGACGGCAGATACGAGCGGGACCTTTCAAATTCGCCATACCGAAGCAGAGACGCTAACTCGTTCAAGAGCTAGGCAAAGATGGGGACTCAAAGAGAAAGAAGAGCAAAAAGGGAATCGCCCCTAAAACCGGCGAGACCCAGAGTCACCCGGGGCCTGGTCTCCCTCGTCCGGAATTACACGTGGGATTGGTCCGTTTTTTCTCGAAAATTTGTAAGGGTCGAATCGATTTTGCATGGCGCAGGGGGTCCCGGGATGGATCCGTTTTGATGTGAGGGTGGGGGGTTCGTCCAGGAAGACCTTGATGAAAAACTGCCTCCATCTTCAATGTCTCTCTGCTGTTTGAACATTCAAAGCTGCCAACGCCGATGGGCCAAGACTAAGAACGACTAAACTCCTAAACGCCGTCCGTCCAAACGGTGTGCGACCCGCGAGTTGGACGGCACATCATTTGGGACCACGGAAGACTCACGTTCTGCATTCCAGCCCGTGCTTGCTTACTGAGTGACAGCGTCTTCACTTTTTTATGGATCCCCCTGTCTGGATATTTTTTCTCCTTTGGGAATACCGCCTGCAAGATCTAATCTGATGTGGCTCTTCCATTGACTCGGTGTCGAACGAGATCGAACACGATGATGCCAATGGCTCCAGATTTCAAGGCCTCGCCGATGCCATGAGACTCGCCGACTTTTCACCTCTTCCAGAACACCCGAGAACCCTGATGATTCACATTGAGCATGGAGGAATCAGGGCTTCTCGGATGTCTACGAGGGGGAGACATCAAGAAACAGAGCGACAGAGAGCCTGAGAACCAGCCCCTCCGCCGACAGCCCGGAAGCAGCCATGGATCAACTTGACACCTGCAAAGAACACCCTTTCCTCAGAAACATGGAGACCATCAACTTCCTATTACAGAGCAAGGTCACGCGGATGTTCGAGACCACTCAGCTGCAGCCGGCTCTATCTCAGCTTCCCCTCTTCAAGCATGCGCAGGGCTGAATTGCTACAAGTCCCAGCGGTAGGGAACGCCAAACAGACGGGCTGGGCTGTTCTAGTTCCGAGCACTAAGAGGCTCTGGAAAAGCCACCAAAGAGCTGCGCAGTAAGAACCCCGCGCGCGCTTGGGGGGGAAAGGCTAAGAAGACGCCATCCCATCTAGGTCGGAAGCGGCCAAGCTGGGACCTGAGTCAAGACAAGACACTGACAAGCTGACACTGGCTCCACGTTGATGGCACCTGGTGTCGGTGATTGTGGTCTGCTCAGCACTGAACGTGCCAGTGGCTTGCTTATCGCCTATCGCCCATCCTCTGCTGTTCGGGTCCGAGGTCGGTGGGTGGGGGGATGAAAGATTGCCTCCGGATTACGAACCGGGACGGGTTCGGATGCTGAAAGAGCTCAGTGGCGATCGGCCCGGAGGGTTTGGCTTGCAACGGCGCGCGCGGCTACCGTCATCATCCAGACTTAAGAAACCCGCGGCTTTAGGTGGTCTGTCAGGGTAAGCTTGAGCTGATTTATGATGATTGGCGTTTCCGAGCTCTTCGGCCTACGTTCCGGTGGGTGTAATTGACCCCGGTCGCTCGCTGGGCTCTGATTGCTCGGAACTACGGAACGGGAATACGGAAATACGGAACGCTCATTGATCGCGAATCCTCAACCAACAGGATTTGTTGGCCGGGGATTTTGGCCATTCTCGAATCTCACGGTGACGTTTCTACTTGAGGCACAGGGATAACGATCGCTATCAGAAGTAAAGTGTTGTTCAAAGAAAGGAACTCAGTCGAGTTGGATAGGTACCCAATTGAGTTTAAGATGTTGCTTGGCCAGTTCGTCTGATTTCAGCAGCCAAGCATCAAGAGACGTTGAAAGGTAAAGTATGTACAAAACTCTCTTCAACCACATCAGTCACCCTTCACAAGCGCTATGGCCATACATCTACCTCACAAGCATTGAGAATACCAATCATTGGCCTTAGTGCAAGTGTACGGGGAAGCGCAGACAGTGCACCCGCTGAACCCGCTCCCGCCGCACTGATCCCACCGGTTCGCCGTGCAGCCTCCGCCCCCGCTCGGCGGTGCCGCCGTTGTTGTGGCCGCAGGTGGCGCCGCTGCGGTCGTCGTCGTCCCGGAGCCGCCCTGTCAAGACGGTCAGTACATCAACAAGCACAACCCGAGAGAACACTCACAGTAATCCCAAACCACTTGAGATCCTCCGCGCCCATGACAGGCACACTGTGCCCGACCCCAGCCCCGTAGATGCCCTGCAAATTCGGCCCGTAGATGTACTTGGTGTACTGCCCGCTCGGCGTCCCGGGCAGCGTCTGCTGCGGCGTCAGGCTGTACCCGAACACCCCGGTCCACTGCTTGATCGTCTCGTTCCAGTTCTGCGGGTACAGCGTGGTGTCGGCGCTGCCGTGGTAGATCTGCATGCGGGGCCGCGCGCCCGAGTAGCCCGGGTACATGTTGAGCGCCGTCTGCGCCCACACGGCCTGCGTAGAGATGGACTGGCCCTGGCTGCAGGTCGAGTTCCAGCCGTTGACGGTGCCGGTGTAGAAGCACCCGGCGGGCACGCCCGAGTAGGCGATGCCTGCGGCGAAGAGCTCGGGGTAGGTTGCTGCCATGACGTTCTTCGTTATTGTTAGCGAGGCTTCTTCCGGGCAAAAGACGGGTGTGTGAGAGAGCGATTCTTTTCGTCTTCTAGGAGGGTCTCGTACCGTCATCATAGCTCCAGAGGAGGTGCCCGTCACAAACACCTTGCTCTTGTCGCCGTTGTATTGGTTCAGAGTATACGTCACCATATTAGCGATCGCATTGCTGTTTCCACCACCGTTGTGTGTCAACGAAGCCGTCGAGCTCACGTCCCAGCAGGTGCCGCTGTACGGCGACTCAGGGTAAATAACTATCAAACCGTACTGATCCGCGTATGACTTGTACGGCGTGTTGGAGTAGTATGCGCTCGCAGTCCCGGAACAGTAATGGATCGCGACGATGATGGGCGGGCTCGCAGCCACCTTATCGGGCACGTAGATGTACATCTTTGCCCCCGACGGGTTGGCGCCGAAGCTGATCACCTGTTGGAGGGATGCAGCGGCGGCGATGCTGCCGCTAAGGGCGGCGGTCAGGAGGCTGAGGAGACGCATTTTGGTTATGTTTAGTCTGGCCTGGTGTTGGGTTGAGCTGCCTGCAAACACCGGTTTTCCATCATGTTGGGTTTGAGAAGAAGGCGTCCGTCTTATACCATGTTGCCTCCGTCAAGATCGCGAATGAGGCAGCGGATGTGATGGCTCCGGTGGATGTCCAGCTAGTGACTGCGACCCCTCCTCCATGCGAGGTTCCGGGGCCTCTCCGGGTCACGATGCGACCTTCTGCTCGGAGCTACGGGCGTGGCTTTGGGTCATCCCTCTCAGGTCTGAGAGGTGGGTGACGGCCTTTCAACCCCAATGATGCGTTTTGATAAATTGACATTAGGAGTTCAATAAGAACATCAGTTTTAGACCAATTTATGTCACTGTGAGAACTGTTTCTCATCAAAAGGAGAGATCACGGACGGTATGCTTAGACATCCGTCCCTGAACCGGAAGTATTCTCCGTGAGTGGGGCCGTGCGATTCCGCCAATAAAGGCTTCGGTCGGTCGCAATACCATCGCTGCTGTCTCTCATGTTGAACGAGCGCAAATATAAGATGAAATTGTTCCCGAAGGACTCGCTGTGCAAACCTTCTTTGCATGCCAAACAGGCTTTCGACAACCCAGAAGGGCCTCAGTACCAAAGAACTGGCCTAGTCTAGGCCATATTGGTTCCCATCTCGGACGTCACGACCGGCCTACTACCGGATTCTGCTACACTCTCACTTCTCAATGCGACCTTCCCCGTCTTCCGGGTGAGCGGATAGCAGTTGAGAATCAATAGTATCTTTCCTCATTGTGCGTCTAAACATAATGTTACCCATTGAATATGTCCCACGTGGAGGAGACATCAACCGCCATTTAGCCTGAATCCCGCGCGGTTGAGCCTCTCTGAATATCTCATATACCCGGTCAGGTCACATGTGCAACATACGAAAAGCGCCACTGTCTGAGAGAGCTCAAGTTGAATTGAGAAAGAGATAATGAATCCAAAGTTTTGGTATCCGCTCCATGCCCGTTGAACGCCTTGCCATGATGCACCATGCATGTATGTATGTACACCACCCTACTTCCCCGTCCGGCTCCTCAGCGTCTTCAAGCCCGTCCGGTGCTCCGTGTGCTTCTTGCTCAGCTGCTTCTGCCGTATGAACAGACTCATCACCAGCCCCAGCCCCGCGAACGCGACATAGACAATATACATCGTCCGCAAACTATTCAAATACGCGCCCCGCGCAATCTGCCCCTGCTCGCCCTGCAACCCCGCCACCACCCCCACGCTCGACGCCGCGCTCGAACCAGACAGTAAGCCGGCCAGCTCCGGGCCCAGCTCCGCCAGCAGCCGCGGGTGCTGCTTCTGCATCTCGTTGTTGAACACCACGCCGCCGATGACGACGGAGATGGACGTCGCCATCTGCCGGATGAACCCGAACGTCGACGTCGCGGCGGCGATGTCGCGCGGCTCAACGGACGTCTGCACTGCGATCAGCGGCGACTGGAAGTTCGGCCCGATGCCGAGCCCCGCGACGATCTGGTACAGCACGATCTTGGTGAAGTCGCGCTGCAGCGGGAGGTCGTGGAAGAGCCCGAACCCGAGCGTCGCGACGGCCATGCCCGCGATGATGAGGTAGAGGTAGTTCCCCGTCTTGCGGATGACGTAGCCCGCGAGCGCGGACATGAGGGACAGCGAGAGGACGTAGGGGAGCAGGTAGACACCAGAGAGCAGGGACGAGACGCCCTGGACGCCCTGGAAGTAGAGCGGCAGCCAGTAGGAGCCGGAGATGAAGGCGAAGGCGTGGCAGAAGGCGGTGGCGAAGGCGGCGAGGTTGGACCAGTCGCTGAAGAGGTGCATGGGGATGACGGGGTAGCGGGCGTACTTCCACTCGTTGACGGTGAAGAGGCCGATGGTGAGGATGCCGAAGACGATGAGGCAGATGACGGTGGGGGAGCTCCAGGGGTAGGTGACGCCGCCGAACTCGAGGCCGAAGAGGAACATGATGGTGCCGCCGATGATTGTGACCGTGCCGATCCAGTCGATTGCCTTGAGCCCCTTGACGACGGGCGTGCGCGGGTTGTGCAGCTTGAGCACGAAGAAGAGGATGATAATGCCGACGCCGGAGATGGGGAGGTTGATGTAGAAGCCTGTGTTCATAGTCAGCATCACGTCTCATTACAACAAGTGAGAAAGAAAGATAGAACTTACACCACCGCCATGTAACCTGGCTCGTGAACACACCCCCAATAACAGGTCCCACGGCCGACGCAACAGCCCAAACCATGCCCATGACGCCAAAATACACCCCACGCTGCCTCATGGAGAACAAGTCGCTAATGCAGATGTTTACCAGCACAATAATCCCCCCGCCCCCAATCCCCTGGATCGCGCGCGCGGCAATCAGCATCGCCATGTCCACCGCCAGCCCGCAGAGCAGCGAGCCGACCCAGAACACGCCGACGGCGGACAGCAGCACGGGCTTGCGGCCCCAGATGTCCGAGATCTTGCCCCAGGTCGGCACGAAGGCGGCGTTGGCGAGGAGGTACGCCGAGCCGATCCAGATGTAGCCGATGTTGCTGTTGAACTCCTGCGCGATGGTCGGCACGGCCGTGGTGATGATGGTCACGTCCAGCGCGGCAAGGAAGAGCGCCGCGCACAGAGACAGCACGATGAGCGTCGTCTCGAGCTTGGTGCGTCCGGCTTCCGGGGCGTCGGCGTCGGCGTCAGCTGCGGTGGTGGCGGCGGCTTCCGGAGCGTCTTGCTTTGTCTCGCCGGCGGTGGGACCCGCCTCCGGTGTTGAGGCCTCGGCCTTGGCGGCGGAGGCGGGTGGGTTTGCGGTCACCTCATTGTTGCTGCTGATGGAGTCGGAGCTGCTTGTCGTTGTGCCTGCAGCGCGCTCGACGTCGTCGACTTTCTCGTCGTCGTGGAGGTGGTTCGCTGTCATCTGTGGGTTGTGTGGTGATGGCTCGGGTTACGATTTCCGGCGTTGTTTGCGCTTTGGGTGTCAAGCGTTGTTAATTTGATGTGCGAGCGAAGACGTTCTCAGTCTGGTGAATCATCAAGTCGCTTTCCAGATCCTGAGCGGTAACAGTAGATGAGACCCCGTAGATCTTGCCGCGAGACCCTTTTCCCTGCTTTAAAGAGCGAACTGCGATGAATAAGTCACGGCAGCGAGTGTGATAAAAATCAATGAACGCAAGCGCGTAGGTATGAAAAGGAATAGTCACGAGTTCGACCCGTCACCGTCGCGAAGAGAAAGAAGAAAAAAAACCGAAGGCGAAACCGGCAAATTTCATTACCTAGTCGATGACCAGCACCTCCACATCCGCTCCAACGTGAACCACTCCAACCCCCCGGTCACCCATATGGCCGCGAAGCGAGAAGCGAGGAAATCGGGGAAAGTGGGATGGAGCAACATCTTCCTCGAACCGGCTAAGACCACCGGGGAGTCTGGGCCGGTGGTGGACGTTGAGATTGGCGTCGCTTGCCGCACTGCCGCGCTGCCGAATCGGCGAAAATTAAACAGAGAATGCTTGACTGGGAGTTTGCTTATGTTTCCGACGAATTTTGCAGCACAGCAGCTGTTGAATGACACATACGCAGGACTCAAGCTAATCGGAACGAATGTTCATCGGAGTTAGCAGGACATCTTCGGGCGTGCAAAGCCGCACCTCCTTGAGCTTGCTTGTCAGCAGCCGCCTGTTCTTCTACATTAGTCTCGACCGGACGGAACTTCATATGACCTGCCTAATTCGTTCGATGCAGTAATTAGCACGGCGACTAGAAAGCTCGCTGTCCGATTTGACAAGTCGGTGAAGCTCTCGCTCTTGTCACTTCAGGGCGCGTTAACCAGGCACTAGCCAGACTCCGGCGACGGCTTGGTAATCACAGCAGCATTCCCTCAGAAGGCGTGCTCATTGCCGTCGTATTTACGACACTGATGCGACGGGACTAATACATGATACATGCACAGGAGAGAAGCAGCATACCATACATCGGACGGCTGACGCAGCGAGCCAGGGAGGCACCGGACGCTTTGCAGCGGGAAGCAAGGGGCTTCCCCGCGCGTCCACGTTGCCCCCCGCATTCGATGCCTCATCCTTGACGCCGTGATTGTCCAGTCGGGATCGGATCGGATCTGCCGCTTTGCCATTTACAGCTCGCGGCTCTCCGTTGTCGCTGCTGCCACTTCATCGAAGCTCAAGGATAACAGAACGTTGTTTGGTTGGTCGGTTGAATAGTTGAATGGTTGAATGGTAGGGTATTAACTCATAATTCATTACTCTTTAATTATAAGTCTAAATTCTAAATGGCATCGTACTGCTTTTGCTGTGCTCAACTGATTATTACGCGGTCGTTCTTGATATTCTTTGCAACGTCGAACGGCTTCGGCTTCTGCCCCAGCTGCGTCAGGCTCTTGTGCAACGTGTGTCCGCCGCCACCGGGACCTCCGGGACCAGCACCGGGGCCGCCCGTCCCGTCCTGCCTCTCCTGGTCCCACCCCGCCGGCGCCGGCTGCATCCCCCGGACGGCGCACACCGCCGCAAAGTCGAGCGTCGGGTACCCGCACCGCTCCGGCCTCTTCTCGCACACTCTTGACGTCGCCACGATAATCGCCGCCGACAGGCACAGAATCGTGCTGCTGACGAGCACAAACAGCACCCTGCTGACCTTTCCCGCGACGACCTGGTGGCTGAGCACGGAGATGGACAGGTCGGTGTACATGTCCGCCGGCAGGCCCTCGCGCGGGCCGGTCAGCTCCCAGATGGACGGGCCATTGGAGAAGTAGTTTGCGTGGAAGTAGTGGAAGGGCACAGACATGGCCTTGCGGATGGCCTTGAGGGACTGCTTCTTGGCAACCTCGGAGTCGTTGATAGGCAGCGCGGTGACGGCGTAGATGGCGAGGGCCGAGTTGTCGCCCTTGGTGGCGTCCTGGCTGCTCGTCGTGTTGAAGCCGGGCACAACGGCGGAGAGGGAGAGCATGTAGTCGTCGAGGGTGATGATGTCCTGCTTCGCGGGCGTCATGTCGGTCACGGCGAGGATGGAGAAGTTGCCGCGGTCGTAGGTGATGGTGGCGAGGCGCGAGTAGACGAAGAGGGAGGAGGAGATTTCGAGCTTGCTGGTCCAAGTTGTGTCGTTGATGCAGGAGCTCGTGGCCTGCATGGAGATTGGGCAGTATGCGGAGCCTGGTATGAGATGTTAGCATCCCCGCGATGTGCAAGTGGGATGGCAGTCTTACCGAAAAGGAGTGCGTTGTTGTCGCCGGTCTTGGCACACCAGTAAGACGCGGCGCTGGCGGCTCCGAGAAGGAAGCACTTTCCGGTCTTGCGCAGGTTCTCGAGATCCGGCACCTTTCCGTACTCGAGCTGAACGACTCTTGTCTTGGGGACCACGTAGGAGGCCGACCCCGGGAGCTGCTTCAGGTCGTCTGTTTGCGGAGCAATGGCGACGACACCGCCAGTGAGGAGATGCGACTCATCACACGGAGCCCAGTTGCCGTCCGGCCCTGTGCACTTTCCGACGCCCTTGGTCAGGGGGTCCAGGGAGAAGGAGTCTCGGTCGGACCACGCGGGACTGCCCATCTGCACCAGCAAAGCGGTCGCCGTGGAGTTTCGGACATGATAGACATTAGAAGCATTAAAGGGACCGATGCCGGCAGATACTGGATACGTCTTCTCGGGGAAGGTGACCATTTCGATGGAGATGGCGCCTGGACACAATATCAGCACGAGCTCATGGTATTAGCCTGAGGATCTGACTTACCCATGAGAATGATACCAGGCAGGGGAATCGAACAAATAACCAACAACCTGTCCGATATCAGCACACCATCTCTTCAGTCAAGCACCATCACCACTCACCGAAATAAACTCGAATACTTTTCCTTCCAATCCGCCGTAGCCAAGAGCCTCAACAGCCCCCACACCCCTGTCCCGGAGTCCAATCCGACAAAGTGCAACAAGCTCACACCCCCAGGCCTCGAGGCCAGAGCCCACTGCAGATCCTCCACCACGACAACCACCAGCGCCGCCAACACAACGGCGCAGAGTTCCGTCAACACGCGCAGCAGTAGAATCGAGTTCTGCGGCGACGCAACGAAAAAGCTCTGCTTCATCAGCGCCTTGGCCGACCCCGTCGAGTACAGCCCCGTCAGCGTCACCATCAGCGCGCCCAGCAGCCACAGCGCCCACGTCCACCACAGGAAGCTGCTGCCGCCCGCCTTGCCCCCCTCGGCCCCCGGCGGCGCGTTCGACGTCAGGTGTATCGTGTCGTTGAACTCGTCGCGCTTGCGGTCGAACGAGGCCGCGCTGGCGCTGCTGTCCATGGCGTCCGGCGTTGGCGGGTGTAGGAAGTTCGTCTGCGAGACGCTCGTCCCCAGCGGCGACGGGAACGCGGACCCGGCCTTCTCCATCTTGGCGTACCGCGGCCAGTCCCTGATGTCGTCCGTCCTCGCGCTGTCGATGCTATGCCGTGCGCCGTAGAAATCCGTCGTCCCGTCCGTCCTCCGCGACCACGGCCGTGTCGGAGCGGCGGCACCCCCGTGCGAGGCCCGGATGTGTGCGCTTATATCCTCGAGGTCGATCGTCTCCCGCCGCGCTGCCTCTGTCGAGTTCCTCCCCATCGCGGTTGGCGAGTCCCCATACGGTGAGGACGTGGCGCTGTGTCGCCAGATCGTTCGAGCCATTTGGTGGGTGGTTCGGTCCCGAGTTGTGTTAGTGTACGGCGCCTTAATGCAAGACGCTCTGCGCCTGCCCTTGTCGAAGAGAAGTTGAATGAATGGTCCGTGATAGGCGTGAGTGGTAGAAACGAGCGTGGGCAGTTGATAATATGTCTATGTTATGGCGTTGAAAACAAAAGAGAGCATTTCTTGGTTTGACAGAGAGAGTCAAGAGAAGAGACAGCACGCCATTGAGTTTCCCATTTTCCATGCAGTCTGCCCCCAACAGAAACAGCGCCGTCGCATTCTTGACTGTTTGGTCTTGGCGAGACCGAGCCCATTTGGCGGGTTTCCAGATCACCAGAAAAAAACAGGCCGGCGAGTCAGTCGCCCAGGCAAGCGAGTCGTGACACCCCGGACAGGCTCTCTGCTGCCAGATGAACCGCCATCTATGTGAGACTGGAGAATGCGCGACGACTGGTCGAGATGATCAAACCCGTGGAGGGTCCTCCCATGTTCCGGAAAGCAAATTGGGGGTCGCGCAGCGGTGACGAATTCGACGGCGAGGCCGCCGCCGCCGCTGCTGCTGCCAACGTGGAGAGCTTTGTTTACAACGCTTGTTGTTCGTCTGTCCGTCTCCCCGCGAGTTCCGCCCGCCGGCAGCCCGGGCGGTTTGATTGATTAACGGGGGAATTGTCGCTAGGATAATCTTCTCTGGCAATTGCCAATTGACGAGGGAAACGGTCCACAGTTGATTTGTGCCAGTTTCTGGGGATTTCCGTGCGTCTGGGGCAAGCTTTGAGGAGACGCCGAGAGCTTGGGTCCACGGCATCGTGAACTTTCACATATGGTGTTTTCATGCCGTGGGATTGACGGCTGCTGTTATTCGTTGCATTATTTCTGCCCATAAAAGTTGAGATGAAAGAAGGAAAAAGAGAGATGTGTGGAAACGTGCCTTACAGGGCTTAGGTCCGTTCACCGTCCCAGATCCTTGGACGGCGTGTGCGTGGGATGAGGGATCAGCCTTGGACGCCTCAAACCAGGGGTGACAGCGCTTGCTGTAAATAGCAGCAAGGGAAAGGCGGCATTGAAGGAAATCCCGTCTTAAGGGGGACGGCAGCCCTACCCGACCTCTTGCTAATGATGATCTCTCTCCCTTTCGTCTTCACCGGATCTGAAGCCGATACCGCCTAGATGTTGGGCGAGAATGCCTATCGCTCGATATGAAGAGGTGGATTCGACAAACTTCGCCGGGGGAAAGGAGAAGGTGATTTGCCACGTATATACTCCAAACAGGGCAAGATTGACTCCCTTGCCGACGGGCCTTGCAGAGGCCGCGCGGAAGAGCCTGGATCCGGACTCTGAATAGCCTCAACGACAGGGCGGCGGAGGCGCCGTTGCTCGCACAACGCTGCTTCCTGTCGGTGGTCATTCCGTGAGATGTGCAGACTGCAGGACACAGAACACGGGGTCATTAGGGATTGGGGTCTTCTTCATAATGTTGCATTGGGCTACCACCCCTGCATCACGGAGTTGCGGGGTCCCTTGGTCCTTGGTCCTTGGTTCTGGAAGTGAACTCCTCCCGATGCAACGGCGGTGGTGCGCCGCCCTGGCCGGAGATTTCGAGATGTTCCGACCGACTTTACCGGTCGGCGGTCGGGTTGAATCGTGATCAAAAGGATCCGGTTGCCACCTCCAGACGGCAGAGGCCCAGACGCAACATGTGGAGGGCTTCAATGGAGAAAATCTGCCAAAGTTGTTAGTAACTTTCCGATGCCATTCTCCACGGATTTTCGTCAATGTCAGGGAGATGCTCCAGTGAATATACTATGTTCATGAGTCGTCGCTCAACCACGAGGATAGTTGAATCAATCCATGAGGCCGTTCAGCAAGTCTGCGAGATTGATGTCTTGAAGTTGGATGTTGCAAGTGATCAAAGGGAGACAGACGCAGGAGCGCGTGGGGAAACGCGCCAAAGGGCGCTAAAATGCCGTAACGTCGTCCCAAATGTTATACACCATTTTACCCCTCCAAAGCTTCACTTCACCCCTCCAACCTAATTTGAGCCTCAATCGTCCCAACTCAACCACTAATCCAACTCACACCCCATGCAACCCTGGGACCGGTGACATCTTCTAGTGAACACCCGATGAGCCGTCTCATACGCCTACTCACATCGCCGCTCATCTCCTCCTCACCCGTCAAACCCCTCACCCGCCGCTCGCTCACCACCATGGCGGCCTCACGAACGTATCAAGACGCCCTCGACCGCCTCAACACCCTCATCCCGAACCTCAAAGTCCACGCCCTCTTCAACGCCCCCAAAGACAAAGATGCCTCCTCGCCCTCAAAACCGCCCGCCGACCCCAACGCCCTCGCAATCCCCGAGATGCGCGCCTGGCTCCTCCGCGCCAACCTCCCGCCGTCAACCCTCTCCCGCCTCTCCTACATCCACATCGCCGGCACAAAGGGCAAAGGCACCGTGACAACCCTCACCTCCTACGCCCTCCTCGCCTCTTCTCCCCCATCCACAAAGATCGGCACCTACACCTCCCCGCACCTCCTCCACCCCCGCGAGCGCATCTCCATCAACGGCCTCCCCGTCCCCCAGCCCCTCTTCGCGCACCACTTCTTCGCCCTATGGGACATCCTCTCCGCCGCCCCCGCCGACCCATCCTTGAACATCGACGCCGGCGCCAAGCCCTTCTACTTCCGCTACCTCACCCTCCTCGCCCTGCGCATCTTCCTCGCCGAGGGCGTCTCCACCGCCGTCGTCGAGTGCGGCATCGGCGGCGAATACGACGCCACCAACATCCTGCCCCCCGAAGCCGTCACGGCGTCTGTGATCACGCAGCTCGGCATCGACCACGTCGCCATGCTCGGGTCGACCGCGGAGCAGATCGCATGGCACAAGGCCGGCATCATGAAACCCGGCGTCGCCACCTTCACCCGCGCCCTCGACGCCCAGCCGGGCGTCATGGCCGTCCTCCGCGACCGCGCGGCCTCCATCGGCGCAACGCTGGTCGAGCTCCCCGACGCGGAGGTGTATTCCTGGTCTGGTGTGCCTGACGCAAAGATCCCCGGCGGCGAGTTCCAGAAGAGGAACCAGGCCCTCGCGGCTCTAGCAGCATGGCACCACCTCCGCGTCCTCGAGTCCAAGAACACCGCCATACCCCCATACACCTCCCTCACAAACCTCCCCGAGGGCGTCACCACAGGCCTGCGGAACGCAACCCTCCGCGGGCGCCACGAAATCATCCCCAAAGAGCGCGTCTCATACCACCTCGACGGCGCGCACAACGCCGACTCCCTCGCGCAAGTAGCCGCCTGGATCGCCCCGCTCATCACACCCCCGAACACGCCCTTCGTCCTCGTCTTCAACCAGCAGGAGCGCGACGCCGCGGAGCTGCTGCTGGGCCTGCTGGCGGAGATGAAGGCGTGCGGCGTGGACTTGGAGACGAAGCTCACGCACGCGATCTTCACGCGGAACGACAAGGTCAGGCTCGAGGACGCGGATGTGGGTGTGCAGCAGAAGTGTGCCGAGGCGCTGCGGGCGGCGTATCCAAACGCGAAAACGACGGTATGCGCGGATCTGGGCGAGATGACGGCCGCCGTGGACGAGATCGCATCCGCTCATGAGGAGGCGACGAAGGTCCTCGTGACGGGGAGCATGTACCTCGTCGGCAACTTGATAGGCTTCTTGGAACCAGAGAGCCAGTTTTGATTAACCTACACCTCCTAAAAAAAAGTATTCTAGAGTTGAATCCGCGAGGAATGATATGTAGATCCCCTCCCTCCCTTTTCTTAGCCCGATTATCCCATCTAAAATTCGCTGTAATGTTGAACCCCAAAACCTTCCACGTAAAACGCCTGTTCATACGGACATGATGTATGATGTACTCAAAGAGCATCCGCCCCTTCGAGAATCTGCAGAGCGCCGCCGACGAGGTGCAGACTGCCCGTGACGAAGGCCTGCACGCTCTCTCCCTCCCCGTTGCTCTCCGCCAAGCCGCGGACGTAGTCCAGGGCCTCCTCGATGGTCGGGATGACGCGCACGTCAGCCTGCGGATCCAGCTCCCTCCACCGCTCCGCGAACTGCTTCTGCACCGTCATGGCCTCGATAGCCTTATTATCGTACTGGTGATTCACGAAATCTGTCCAGCGTCAGCAAAGCTTCCCATCCGACAGAACGTCAAACTCACCTCGCTTGTACCCCGTCTCCTTGTACGTCACATTCGTACAGAACACAACCCCATCAAACCCCCTCCCATCCCTCTTCACAGCCTCATAAAGCCCATCCAGAAAGTCGATCGCCTCCGTCCGGCCCTGCTGGTTAAACACCAACACCCGCCTCCTCCTCCGCGCCTCCGTCTCCCCGGCGAACCACCGCCCCGCCATCTTCAGACTGTCCGTCGTATGCGCTCCGTCAACAAACCACACCACGCTCCCCTCATCCTTCACCTCGCACCGGCCCCTCCACACAACCTCCTCCAAGCCCTTCACAAACGACTCCGGCAACTTCGCGGGATCGGGCTTAAACCCCTCCTCCAGCCTCTCCAGCACGCTCTCCGCAAGCCGCACCGCCAAACTCGCATTCCTCCGCTGAAACTCCTTATCCGGCCGTATCCTCACATCCTTCATCCTCTCATCCACCTTCACAACCTCCAACTTCACCCTCTTCTCCGCCGCTCGCTCCTCCAGCACACCCTGCGCCTCGCCCAGCTGCTCAACCGTAAACGCCCTACTCCCCGTCTTCATAATCCCCGCCTTATGCCACGCAATCTTGCCCACCGTGTCCCCCAGCGCAAACACATGATCGATCCCCAACGTCGTAATCCCCGTCGCCACGGGCCGTCCCACCAAATTCGTCGCGTCATACTCCCCGCCAATTCCCGTCTCCAGAATCGCGCAGTCCACCCCCTCCTCAATAAACGCGTGGAAGCTCACCAGCGTCAGGTAGCGCGAGTAAATCGGCCGCGTGCCCAGCGCCACGCCCTCCGCGTCCGCCGTGCTGCTGCCCAGCCGGTCCCACACCTCGAAGAAGTACTTGGCGAAGAGGGCCTCCGAGATGGGCACGCCGTTGATCCGGATGCGCTCGCGCACGGCGATGAGGTGCGGCGAGATGAGCAGGCCGACCTTGCGCGGGACGGAGGACGGGGAGAGGGCGCGGTGCGAGGCGAGGATGGAGTCGGTGAAGGCGCAGGTGCTGCCTTTGCCTTTTGTGCCGGCGACGTGGATTACGTTTAGCTTGTCGAGGTCTGCGGTCTATGATGGGGACGTATCAGCTGGCGGTTCGCAGTGTAGAGAGAAAGAGGGAAGGGGGGTAACGCACCGTGTACCCGATACGCGCGAGGTACGCCCTCATCTCCTTGACGGAAGCTTCATCAGGTCGCACGCCCGCCTTGCGCCGCGCCTCGATGACGGCGAAGGGCGTCTGCAGCGTGTTCAATGCGTCGACAGCATCCTGGACATCCCCAATCAGCTCAGTCTGTCCCAAACATCCTCATCACCCCTTCAAATATCCTCTCTCCATCGCGGGGTACTCCCCCCTCCCCGACCTCGGAGCCTAACCGCGCAAAAACTCACATTATACGTCCGTCCCGCCATATTCCTAACAGCACCCCTCGTGCTCGCGAAAAGTCCAGTTATAGGTTTCCTGTTCCCGCTGGTGAACGTCGTCGTTGTCCAGGCGAGGCGCACGATGCGACGAGGGACATGATGCATGTTCGGCTCCCGTCTGGAGGGGCAGCAACACTAGGTAAGCTCTCAAATGCCGTTGGTGGGGGTTTTGGACCTGTTGCCCCACTTCCCGCGCTCCCTTGGAGCTGGGACTGGAAGCTTGCCAGGGAAAAAGGTACTTATATACAAACTTGTGAAAAAAGTCAATGCTCGGCGTTACTTCCGATCACCGGCTGCTGGACCGAGTTATCGATAGACTCGGTTTTTTCATGATTCAAATAATGCAGTTCCGTCAAGTGGGCGTGTTAGCATCTTATGAATGACTCTGTGATGCTTTCTCTTGTAATCAAATAGGCTCAAGGCTAGGATGAGATACTCGTACATCACAATACTACAGAGTACAGCTGATAGAATACACTGCCTTCATTCAAGTCTATGGCTATGTCTTACACAGACCAGAGGTCTAGGCTCTCTAAGTCTCCTCACGAGCCAACCGCGTCACAAAAGAAAAAGTGTTTGTGTGTCCCGTCCATTATTCTACCTTGAGGCTCTGCAGACGCGCCTCTGTCGCAATGACCTGTCGAATTGTTAGTTGGTGTCAATGTCATAGCTGAAAAGTAAAAACTCACATCAAGTGCCTGCTGGACCTCCAGCGTCTTCCTCACCTCGCCAAGCCAGTCTCTGCTCAGCGTCTTCGCCCAGCCCTGCAGGCCGTTCATCTCACGGGCCGCGGCGTCCAGGTTACCCTCCTCCAACAGAGTCTGCGTGCGCGTCAGGATGCTCTCGACGTCGTTGCCGTCGGCCAGACCCTGCTTCTTGAACATGACCTTGCTGAGGAGGTAGCTCGACGCGTGGCTGGCAACACCAGCCTCGTCGGGCAGCAGAGAGGCCTTGCGGACCTCGCTGGCGACTATGCGGAATCTGTCAATCAGCTGGGCGGCGTTGGCGAGGCCGCGCTGGTAGGCGGAGGGGTTGATGGAGGCGATGGCGGCGTTGACAACCGGGTCGTCGGCCGCAATCTCCTTCAGGGCGACGAGCTCGCGGGTGAAGGGACGGGGCGAGATGGCGTTCTCCAGGGTGGCGCGGACGGCGTCGACGGCGACGTGCAGCTGCTGGGTGCGCAGGTTGGTGTCGACCACCTCGTTCCATCCGGTGGTGAGCTTCTCGAGGTCGGCGACGGCGTCGGACAGCTTCTCGAGCTTGCCCAGGCGACCCTCGCGCTCCGACTCGACGTGCTTCTCGACCTCAGTGACGAACTCCTTCTTCAGGGCCAGAGCCTGCTCGAGGAGCTGGTTGTTGAGGCGCTCCTCGTTGAGCTGCTTCTCGCGCTCCAACAGAAGCTTGGCGCGCGCGTCGTAGCTCTCCTTGACCTTCTTCATCTCATGCTCAAACTCCTTCCTCCACGCGCCCTCTTGGGCGACCATGGCGCCCTCGACGCGGGTAATCAGGTCGTTGGCGGCCTTGTCAAAATCGGCAACCTTGGCCTGGACCTCGGCAGCAGCCTTCTCCTCGACGGAGCTCTTGATAGCCTTGATCTTGCTTCCGACCTTGCTCAGCTCGTTCTTGGCCTTGGTGATGGTGGGGGAGTAGCGGCCGTGGGCCTTGTCGGCGTTGATGACGGTGATGATGTCGTTGAGCATGCGGACAAGGTCCTGAACAACCGGCTCAGTCGCGTCCTCAATCTTGATAGCGTCGATGGGGGGGATCGGGGGGAAGCGGGAAGGCTCGTTGACCTCGGGGGGCTTGAAGTCGTTCTCCTCCTGCTTAGGCGCGACAACCTTGGCCTCGACAGGCGCAGGCTTGGGTTCGGGGGCCTTCCTCTTCTTCTCGACGGGCTTGGGCTTCTCCTTGACAGCGGCGACCTTGGCAGCCTGGGCCTTGTCAACAGCACTAGACTGACGGCCAGCAGGCTCACCGTTGTCGGCTACCCTCCAGGATGCGCCGCTCTGAGCGGGAACCGCGACCTGGCTACCGGTATCTCTCGACTTGATCTTGTTGGAGATGTTGGGGAATCGCTTGCGGAAGTCCATCTCCTCAAAGTAGAGGACCGCCTGCTCTCCGAAGGGAACATACTCGGTGAAGAAGTCGTGGAAGCTGTCGTTGACGCGGGAGTACCAGACACCACCACCAAAACCGATAGCACCGAGCACAGCGAGGGTGAGTACGAGGTTCCTCAGTCTGCGGAAGAAACCCTTCTTCTTCGGAGCAGCGGCGGCGGGTGTCCGGGGGGGAGGCGCGACGGCCTCGGTGGCAGGGGTCGGGGGCGTGAGAGGGACCTCAGTCTTGGGGATCGTGGCCTCGGCGGCGGCGAGCTCGGGAGCGGCGCTCTTCTCAGCGGTGATGGTCTCTGATGCGGGCAGGACTGCAGGCTTGGTCGGGTCGGGCTTCTTGTCGTCGGCAAAATGCCTCCGGCGGGCGGCGGCGGCCTGCCATTGGCGGCCAATGACGGCCGCGGCAGGCCTGTGGCCGAGCACCCTCACGGATCGAATCGACGTTCGCAACATGAGGGGATGCAATGGGCCGACGAGGCGGGTTTGGGAGGGGGATGATGTCGAGGGAGTTGTGGTGGAGGATGTGATGGAATCCAGGCACAAAAAAGCTCAGGGAAAAGTTCGGCTAAAACTGGGAGCTGCCAGCCGCGCTGTGCTATCCGCTGCCCGACGGCAGGAACCGGGATGAACAGTGGCTCACGTCACTGCACTGCACACGCGAGCGAGCGACGAGCTCCAGACTTTCGAGACAAAAAAAATCAGATAAACATTGATTTTGGTCTGTATGCGCTCTGGATTGGGTTTTGCAGCTTCGTGTGCATCTCATGGCACTATCATCACCTTTGAGAAATCCAGAAATACCTTACGACGTCACCCGATCCTCGCCCAGCACAAAAGTCACACCTGCCATCCAATCTGTTCTATTTGACGTGGCAGCACGCCTCACAAACATCATTCACAAAGCGCACACCCATGAAGTGAACCATCCGTAAACAGTTGCCTCTATTGCATACTGTACATCAGAAAAATGCTGCAGGATGCTTCCCCCCATAGTAAAAAGTGAATCCGTTCCCGTACACCGTCTTAATCCAGGTCTGTCCCTACACCCGAGTTGCCACAACCGAATGACCAGCGCAATGAAGACACGAAATGTAAATCACACTCTCGAAAAACGTACTGTTGATATTAAAAAGCTGGGCCTGGCATACCCTATCTCGGCGTAGGGTGCAAGACAACGCTGTCCGACCTCATCCAGCCAAAACGCCGTCATATACGTGCATGTTTGTGGGTGGTGTTTGGCCGCTGGGTCGCCTGGGGCAGTCTGTCGGCAGGAATCTGCCTGAAACCGAAAAAAATACCCTTCTCTCTCCGGTCCTCTGGCTCGTCTGGTATGTGATATCCTTTGCGTCGTCTTCATCTAGCAGCTGCAGGGCCCGCTGACGTTGCTGCCGGGGGTCTCGGGCTGGAGGCTGACGCCTTGTCGCTGTCCTGGCCGAGCATGCCTAGGGCCGGCCTGGTCGAGCGGCAACTTCTTGGCAATGGCCGTGAAAAGATCCTTGACGTTCTCGGCCGTCTTCGCGGACGTCTCGAAGAAGAGGAGTCCGGCCTCGCGCGCGTAGGCCTCGGCGTCTGCTGTGGAAACTGCTCGCTTATCGGGCTGCTCGTTGACCAAATCCAGCTTGTTTCCGGCGAGGGCGATGATGATGTTCTCGTTCGCTTGTCTCTGCAGCTCCTTGACCCACGCCTTTGCCTTGTCCAACGAAGCCTGCATCTGTTAGCCTCCGGTTTCCGGCTGTTGCATGCCATTTGACGTACAGATTGAGTGATATCGTAAACAACAACGGCGCAGTTGGCGTTGCGGTAGTACATAGGGGCGAGGGACTTGTAGCGCTCTTGGCCGGCGGTATCCCAGATCTCGAACTTGACCGTGGTGTTTTCGTCGAGGGAGATGGTCTGCGTCAAGAAAGCAGCACCAATAGTAGATTCGCGGTAAGAGTCAAATTGGTCCTATGGAGGCGGACGTTAGCGGGATGCTTTCTGAAGATATCGACGTCGGGTATCAACAACATACCTTGACGAATCGCAGGACGATGGAACTCTGGGGGGACACGTTAGCATGATGGGCAGCAATTCCTTGGGTTCCGAAGAGGTACCTTTCCAACAGCGGACTCGCCTGCATCATCACAGTTAGCCCAGCGATTCAAAAGAAGGTATCGACGGAGATAGAATACCTAGCAAGACCAGCTTGAACTGCGCAAAGCGCGTGTTCATGCCGCGAGCGCCGGGAGCACCAGGACCTCGGGCAGACATTTTGAGCGATGTGAAGGTTTGGATGGGAGAGGTGGGCGGCTGCAGAAAGCTTCAAGGTGGATGGACCTCGCAGACGGATAGGATGCACTGGGGGCCGATCTCTGGAATGTCGCCGGACTGGGTCGCTGGCGGAGCGGACGTTTGTCGAAACGGAAATGGGGGAAATGGGTGGTGTCGGTCGGGGGGCACGATCGATCAAAGCAGCGTCGGTCGCAAAGCAACGGTGGTATCGTGGATCGAAATGGTGATTGCGCGGCGTGGGGTGGTGGATGAGGCGAGAGGTGGGAGACAGAGAGGTAGGTTGGCGTAGTAGGTAAGGCAGGCAGTCAGAAGGAGTCGATGGCAAGTAAATCGGGTCCTGGAATAATGTGACTGCCTTGGGGGTGGTGAAGCTCGATGATGAATGGGTGGGCGGGCACGTTGCACACGTCAGGCTCTTGGGACACTGGGACACTGGCTGCACTGCAAATGAAATGGGGGTCCCTCTCTGTCTGAAGGCAATGGATGGAACTGGCACTGACGCCGACACTGGCTGGACTGGGCACCGGGCACCGGGCACCTCCAGCAGAGCAGAGGAAGCGACGGCGCAGTGCTGTCAGGTGCAGCTCTCAAGACGGACGGGGCCTCCAGTGACCCCGATAGCCCAAATCCCCTGCTTGTCCGGTCCGTTATGATGACCTTACTGCCGCAGGTATCTTGCTGCAGCAGATTGGTTGAGGGTACTTCGGTTGGAAGCTCAGAGCACCTCTTGCAGCACGTTTTACCTCAGGCAGCTTAGCGTCCTGCTGGTGGCAGACGGCGTTGATTTATTACCTCAGCTGTCCGCGGCCTCCTTGCTGAGCTCCAGTCTTCCGGTGTACCGTCCTGGAGCTATGCTGGTGAGGTGAACGTGGTGAGCGTCCAATGCCCCTTCACTGTCCACGCCGCCCACATCATCGTCCATCAGGTACCAATCTTCAGGTACGTACCACGTGTAATTGCAGAGCCGACCCAGTGACATGAAGAGATGCGTTATGTAAGCCATGTGATGCCGAGTCTATTGTGTGTTTTTATTGGCTCAGAGCTTCGTTTCTGTGATCTGTGCCCCTCTTTCACAAGCCGGACATCCAGGAGGTACGTACCCTGTCGACCAGCGGTGCACTGTATCGAAGGCAGTCCACTGTCAGTGCAGCAGCACCCTTGAAGCTGGAACTCGACTGAGGTGCAGCAGCAGCAGCAGTCCACTGTCCCTCCCCGGCTGCCCCTTCCACCCGCCAAGGGAGCTCTCTCGCCTCCTAGCCGTGGAGGGTCCTGCTTGGTATGAGGTAAGGAGGTAGGGACCTGCCTGCGAAAGGGAACTGCGCCTGCAAAGTGACGACAGCCACTCCTCGCCAGCCAACCAAAGCCTCAAGCTCCAGCTGTCCTCAAGGCTCACGGCTCTGGGTTCTTGCTCTCTTTTTTTGCGATCGCCGACAACGCCAACGCCCACCTTCGTTGACCGATCCTACGGGCATCAAGACTCCCAACTTTCTAATCCTTTCGCTCGCTCCTTTCTCTCCCTCTTGCTTCACCACCCTCTTCTACTCTCCTCTTCTTCTCGAGTCTACCCGTTGCCGTCGACACCATGGCACCCACTCTCCCCTACCGCGACATCAACGTCAAAGTCGCCCCCGATTCCTACATCTTCACTTCGCCCTCCTCCCCCGATGCCCCGGCTTTGGTCATCGACCGTCCCACCGGCGACCTGCGCCTCGGCGATGCAGGCCTGGGCAAGAGAGTCTCCCGAGTTTCGAGTATCGCTGGTATTCTGGGCATCATCCAGCTTAGACTCGGTATGCCTGTAGCCACCCAAGCTTCCCAACGAACACTGCACTGACTCGACGATTGCGACAGACAAGTATGTCATTGTAATCACAAAGGCCCAGCCCATGGGCCGCCTCAAGGGCCACATGGTCTACAAGGTCATCACCACCGAGATCCTGCCCATGCGCGAGCGCCAGATCCGCGACCCCGACGAGGACACCTTCATCGGCCTGCTTGACACCTTCATGAAGAACGGCCCCATGTACTTCTCCTACTCCATCGACCTCACAAACTCCTTCCAGCGCCAGGCCTCCGCCGACACCTCCCTCCCCCTGTGGCAGCGCGCCGACGACCGCTTCTTCTTCAACCGCTTCCTCCAGTCCGACCTGATCGACTTCCGCACCCGCGGCGCCAGAGGTCAAGCAGGGCCCCAGGCCGGCGCCGACCCCTTCATCCTCCCCGTCATTTTCGGCATGCTCGAGATCAAGCCTACGACCTTCAAGGGAACGCCAGTCACTGTCACCCTCATCTCGCGCAGATCGAGACACCGCGGCGGAACCAGATACTTCACCCGAGGTGTCGACGACGAGGGCCATGCAGCCAACTACAACGAGACCGAACAGATCACCATCTTCAATGATTCGGGCAGTGGTATGGGAGGTTTTGCTGGCAGCGCCGATATGCAGAGTGGCAAGTACGGCGCCAGCGGCCAGGATACGCAGATAATGTCCTACGTCCAGACTCGTGGCAGTGTCCCCACCTACTGGGCCGAGATCAACAGCTTGCGCTACGTCCCGAAGCTGCAGGTCCGCGGCATCGACAGCGCCCTCCCTGCGGCCAAGGCGCATTTTGAGGAGCAGATCCGCCTGTACGGCGACAACTACCTAATCAACCTGGTCAACCAGAAGGGCCGCGAGCAGCGTGTGAAGAACTCATACGAACAGATGGTCGAGAAGCTCATCTCAACCCCCAAGGAGCGCACTGAAGGCGACAGCCACACTAACGAAAAGTTTACGACGATCCAGCCTGAGAAGCGCGCCGTCGAGTTCGATCGTCTTCACTACATCTACTTCGACTACCACCACGAGACCAAGGGCATGAAGATGCACCGTGCCTATGCTCTCATTGAGAAGCTCAAGGAGGCACTTGATGCCCAGGGCTACTTCCGCGCTGTCGACATGCCCGGTGCCAACGATGGCCGTCTCGAGCCCCGCAGCTACCAGACCAGCGTCATGCGCACCAACTGCATGGACTGCCTCGACCGCACCAACGTCGTTCAGTCCATGTTCGCCCGCCACATGCTTGACCGCATCTTTGAGGAGATGGGCCTCATGAGCCGTGGCTCCTCATTCCGCGATGAGGACCCGGCTTTCGAGCACATGTTCCGCAACCTCTGGGCCGACAACGCCGATGTCGTTTCGAACTCCTACTCTGGCACTGGTGCCATGAAGACAGACGTCACTCGTACTGGCGTCCGCACAAAGATGGGTGCTCTTCAGGATGCCCGTATCGGTGTCACCCGCTACTTCAAGAACAACTTCCTCGACGGCCCCCGTCAAGATTCGTTTGATCTCTTCCTCGGGGTCTACTTGCCAGGCACCGCCAACATCGGCAGCTCCCTCATCTTCGCTGACCGCCGCCCCATTCTCATCCAATCCGTACCCTACCTCCTCGCCTTCAGTCTCTTCCTCATCTTCGTCGGTCTCTTCACCAAGACCGAAGCTACCGTCACCATGCGCATCTTCATCTTCTTTTGGCTGGCTGTTGCTGCTTGGTGTTCAAGCTTCATCTTTGGTCACGGCATGCTCTATGTAAGTCCCCTCCTTTCGAAGACTTTGGCCAATAACTAACACTGCCTAGGTAAACTGGCCCAAGCTGAACCCCAGGCCCTGGGCCTTTGAGGGCTACAACGAGCACATGTCCAAGGCCCGCAAGGACTCAGTCCTGGGTTCCTTTGTTGCCCGTCATGAGCGTGGCCTCAGCACGGCAAGATACTCTAACGCTGAAGAGGGTAAGAAGAGGATTGAGTAGACTCTTCTGCATAATCGTCTTATTAGCTTCACGTGCAAAAGTCGCTTCACACGCCTTTTTTAATTTGCTCATTGTGCTGGATCATAACCAGCACAGATATACCGCCTAGGCCATTTTGGGAGGACAGGCCTGATATCCCCTTTGTCATGGGTTCTTGAGGAATACTTTAGCAGGGAGTTTAGAGGCATTGGCATAGACTAGATGTCTTTGTGAAAGAATGTGCCCTGCTAGAACTGAATAATACAACTACTTTCTTGTTCTGGTATCTGGTTCGTTTGTGTGACGCAACAGTTATGAGAGGGGTGGCCTCTCTGAACCAATCTTGGCGTTCATAGTGCGCTTCATTCTGGGTCGATGCACATAAAGAGCAGTGTGAGAGTCATTGAAACGGAACATGTGAGGTGCCTGTGGCTACTAGATTACGTTTGTTCGAATACACCAAAAAAAACCGAGGTATGATGTTGGATGACAGCGGAAATGAGCGGTGGTACAATTGGGATGGTTGAAAACCTTCTGCTGACCTCAAGGGCCAGGTATGCTGTGCTTTTTACTTGACTCCCCGACGACGTTTTCTGACGTCATTGTCTGTCCATGCGCGGGGGAGACGATGCAGGTACCACATTATATGCTATGACAACCGAACTTTTTTCAATGGAGGAAAGTTTAGTTTGGATATCGTTTTGGTATATATTGTGGTTTAGCGGAATGGCGATGGGGAAGGTAGGCCAACATCGGGGGTGTGCGATGTTGGGATCTTGTCGAGTCTGGCGGGGCAAATTTGCATACTGTTAAGGGTCGACGTGAGTGTACACAATTTCCTAATCTCATCTGCATCTGGGAGGCTGGTGTTGTGGCTTAATGGGTTGAATACGTTGGGAACGAGGACGGGTGATGGTGATGGGGAAGGGAAATGGGGTTCTGGGTTGGAGATGCTAGTCGCGGATATGAGTTTTCTGAGTACCTACGAATACATTTAAATGCCCTGTGTCTTCAAAGTTTCAAAACGCTATCTAGTGGCAGAATGCGATTGCCGTAGAACCTCTCTCGCTGCTCCAGATGCGCTTTTTTAAATAGAAAATGATGGCGTGTGCCTTGTTCTGGGGAATTCATGGAGGAGGACTCGATCGGGGCCACGTAGTCTGGCTTAGAGAGACGGCAACGATTCACGATTTCTTCGGGCTCAGTTCATATATGGACGCTCAACTATTAAAAGGCATCTTACTATGGAGTTTTGTGGGCGAGTAATCGCACTCTGTTGACGTTAGGTGACACTACATCTCCGGGGCTTGAATGTCGGAGTCACTGAGCTCACCGGGCCTCAACACCGGAGAGGTGCTAGATACGAGCAGAATGTTGATATCAAGGGCGCATGACATCTGGCTGAATACGAATTTCTCACTCGTACGACGGAGAAGCCGGACGACGGAAAGCTTGCGAGGGAGAGAAACGCTACGCGCATTCAAAGTGTACACGTGAGGTTTAGCATGACTGGGGCTACGTATATTATGGAATTATTGCCGGTGTCAAGTCACAAAGAAATAATGCTTTCGATCATAACTGGTTGCTTTAGCTCTTATTTTCTTCTCTTTTGGTATGAATTAATAGGCTTGTACTGTTTGGAGAGCCGTTACTGAGCACTTGTAAACGTTAAGTTACGAGGCGCGTTGTTGAGGCAGTCTTTCTGCACGAAGATGCAATTGAACTGCCTTTGAGGCTACTTATTTGGACGTACACGTATTAAAGGTCTCTTCTCTGATCAAACAGATGTTCCCTGCGTGGAGACTTGCCATGACATCTACGGTGCCAGTGTTCTGGGAGCCCTCTCCCTACGAGCCGTCAGTGTTAGTGAGACTGTGTCACTCGCCCGAGGCAATTTTGTACTTCAGGCAGTCTCGGCGTCGGCGTCATCCGCTGCATTCTCCCGTCCGAGTCTCCCAAGTGTTTCATCTCAGTTCGCGGGAGCATTTTTGATGTTTGTCGCTTTGTCTGTTGAGGTACGACATCGATGACGAGACTTTCGACAGCGGCCCTCGTGAATTCAGACTTAACGACAACAAGTAAAAGCCAGACTTCTTATCTTGGTCTGAGAAGCTTTTGTTGGGTCACCATACCATGTTTGTATAGCGTGAATCGGGATAAGCTGTGAGATAAGAGGTAGAAGGCACGTACAAACTAGCTGGTCGGGGCACGAGGCATTGCGGCCACTGTTGCGACAACGAAATTGCTCGTCCGTCCTGGAAGAGTCCAGGTTCCGTGTCATATAAAGTGGTAAGTGACGAGTCACTTCGGGTCTTTTAGATACAGGCGAATCTGCCAGACGTTACTGGGCATGAGTAGTGGGTGTTGACAAAAAGACAGAGAGAAGCCCTAAGCTATCAGTGACTTGAGGTTGAGTCCAGTCTTCACCCATCCCCGAGTGCAATGTTGCGGAAATCCAATATAGATCCGTGCTGAAAGCTTGCCATTCAACTGAATACACCAATGCAAACAGAGATTAGGAGAGAAGGACGGTAGATATACCGAAATGAAGACTGCTGTTGCAAGATTTGAGCGGAGGGCCTGGGTGTTGCAAAGCCTGCGGCAAGCCGATGTTCATCTTGAGCACAATTGTGAAACGAGCTTCTATTTCTCGTCGCTCAATTGAGGCAATCAAGGAGGAACACTGTCTTATTTCAAGGTTTTTTCCGGTGCAATAACCCCTTCTGAAGGAGAATGACCTGGTGTCGATCCAAATATAAGTAAGTCATTTACCTGGACATACGAGTCTTCAAACAAACGGTCACTCAATACTTTGTCTACTTTAGGAACACACATTTATGGCGAGTTCAACAAGCCATACAACATTTCCTAGGGATAGCCGGAGGAACTCGAGGCTTGGGAAAGTTTGCACCTGCTATGATTTAGGCGTACTTCAGGCACTCTGTTGAACATCTTACCGTGATCTTCGGGGTCTAATGTCTAAGACATGAGCCATATCTTAAGCAGTGATTCGTCTCCGCTCAGCCCTGCAATTGATACCCATTCCTCAGCTTTCTTCAGCCTTGGAAAGTGCCGGTAGATTGGAGATATCAGCAGATCTGGACCCTACCTTGGCGATTAAAACTGTACGCCAAGCATACCAAGTCGAGACATCAACAGCAACATCAGATAGCGTGTTCAGCCCCCGCCTGTGCCTTTATCATGTGTGACTACCCGTGATCCTTTTCAAAAGTGCCAAGTCGTGCTTGTATTGAAGCGGACTTTGATGCATCGTTCACTTGCGCCATTCATTCGGTCAGAGCTCTTGACATCGCCAACCTTGAGTAATCGCATCACCCAAAGATCCCCAACTCTTTCCCAAACATGCGCGTATCAACACTCCTCTCCCTTGCGGCGCTTCCCACCGGCATAATTGCCATCACCAGCACAACCGTCCTCACGCCAGTGGAACAATCACCATACTACTATCTGGGATGCTATCCTTACACTGCCGAAACCGCCATCGGGGCATACGACATACCGAACATCGCCACGGGCTACAATAATGGCAACCCAGTCGACTGCCAAATCGGCTGTGATCAGCAATTTCATGCGCCTTACGTCTTCATGTATGGCACATACTGCTACTGCCAGGTCCGCGAGTTCGAGTTCGACATCCACCAGCCGGGTGGCGCTCCGGTCGACAATTCCTTCTGCACCACGCCGTGCTTCGTGGACCCCAACGCCCCGTGTGGCACATTGTCCAATACGGATGCTGGGAGGTATGTCACGGTGTACGGGAAGTACGGTCCCAGAGCATCCTTCAGCCCGCGCGTGTCGTCGACTAGCAGCACACGACCCTCGGTGACCACGTTGTCGAGCATCAGCACGTTGGCCTCATCGTCAACATCACCGATACCTCAAAGCAGGTCTCTGGTCCCGGTACCTCGGCCTCCATACTCATACCTCGGGTGCTACTCCTTTGTGAGCGTCCAGTCGGGTGCAATTTGGCAGTTTCAAAGCACTGCAGTCGGTGATCCGGTAGCGTGCCAGGCTGCGTGCGATGCTGCCGGGTCGCCGTTCCTGATGATGCTATTTGACTCGTGTTATTGCCAGCCTGCGAGTGCTGGCATCAACGCACCACCAGGTCTTCCTGCAGCTGATTCAGAGTGCAGCATTGCCTGCCGCAATAGCCCTGGCTCTCCCTGCGGTGGCTCAGCCTCGGGGCTGTTCTACACCGTGTACGGTGGTAGACAGCCAGGTGTCTCATCGTCAAATACACTGCCCTCCACGGCATCGCGACTCACCTCTACCAGGACTTCAATGTCATCTGCGTCGCCTTCGGCATCTTTGTTCCCAGACCCCTTGCCTCCATACAACTACGTCGGATGCTATTACATGCTAAGTATTTATAACACGGACGTGTTCACGTTGCAAGGCGACATCCTCGGCAACCCAGCTGCGTGTCAAGCAAGATGCTTGGATCGTTTGCGATCTCACTTTGTCACTTTGGTGGGAACAGTATGTTACTGTGGAAATCCCCAATATCTCCGCATAAACAACCCTCCGGTCGACGACTCTTTCTGCGCTGGGCCCTGCCTGAACAACCCCGCTTCCCCTTGCGGCCGAAGAAACTTCGAGGATAATACTTTCTATTCTGTTTTGTACGGAGATTATCTTCCGGAAGGGTCTTTGGCAAGTACATCAGCATCGGCGCTATCCTCGGCTGGGGCCTCTACGCGAGGACCTATCATGTTCACCCCAGGCCCAGTCCCGACATCATTGATAGCACCTGGGAGCTTGAGCATCTCTACAATATCGAGGTCTTCGGCAGCCTCTTCATCTGTCCAAAGCCCGGCCATTTCTAGAACCTCGATCTCTTCTACGAGCCCAAACAGCATGGTTCTGGCTTCGAGGTCCTCAACGTCTACATCCACCACAACAGTGAGGTCCGCAACGTCCTCATCCACAAGAACAACCGCCAACACCTTACCGTCTCCTGCGAGCCCGTACTCTTACCTCGGCTGCTATGACAACGACCTTCAGTATCAAGGCCGTTACGTAGGAGTCAACTCTGCTGGTGGCGATCCAGCTGCATGTCAAGCCGCCTGCGCCCGGCTAGCAGCGCCATTCTTGCTGATGTTTTCGATTTCCTGTCTCTGCCAGACGGGTGGCGTTATGGCCCCGCCACGATCCCTCCTTGTCGATGAAAGCCTCTGCACGATCGTGTGCGAAGGGAATCGCACCGCCCGTTGCGGCGGGCGCAATGCTGGTACAAAGTTCTCAGTTTATGGATACCCAGTTGTACAGGTTTTGCCAGGGTCATCCATCTCAAGCACTTCAACTGCTCGGTTGGCTACGTCTTTGACCACTCGGTTGACTGCGTCTTCGACAAGTATTGCAGGCCTCTCGGTGCCCCGAACCACAACGACACCCAGTAACATACCTGCTGGGTCCTCTTCGTTGCGATTCACAAATTCGTCGTCTACAGTCTCAACCCCGAGAGCAGCACCGATCGTCATGCCGGGCTTCAATGACCAGAGCACTTCTCGAAGCCTACCGCCGAACCTAGCTACCCCAGCAACGTCAGCCATACCAAGTTCTTCGCTCAGGTCGTCAACCACGTCAACTTCTTCAACCAAGCCATCAACGATACCAGCCGCGAGCTCCAGCAGTCCCTCGAGGACGACACCTACGACGACACGATCCACGACAAGCGTGTCGTCTTCATCCAGGCCAACTCTTGCGTCGACGGGGGGGCTGGTCGGGATTCCGGTCGTTCTTTCGATCTTACCGCCTGTTCCTGTACCTCCCAATCCGACTCGGGCGATGAGCGCCTGATTCTAGTGGCCTTTGGAAGTTGAGAATCTTGTAATGCGAAACGTCCTCAATTACCACATAATGGTTCTGCAAAGGAAAATGCGAAAACCTTGCTGAAATCTGGTTCACGTAAGATAAAGGGCTCAACTGTAATGCAGAAGGAGAGGGACTCTGTTTGCTATTTGAGACGATCCCCAGTCAGTGAAGCCTGCAAGCGGTCAGTGGATCTTTCCGCCCCTGGGAAGGCAATATTTTGGAATGGAATGTTCGTAGATTACCGTGTACCGGATTCGGCCCACGAACCAAACCCTCGGGCCGCGGCGAATGCAGGCTGCAACTACTGGAGTGGAGGGAGGCATTTGGAACAACCGGTATAAGACTGCCACGGCTCACGTATGATGATGATAATCTAACAGTTTTGGTTCAGCTGGTCTTGAACTCGTGGCGCTGTTGGTTTTTGGTGTTTCTTGTCGATTCTCGATTCCCAACCTGGCGAATTCGGAATGCGACGTGGAGATTATGTCGTGAGAAGAAGCTCGTTCATCTAGAGCTAGAACTTGAGATCCTCAAGGAGAAGTAGGGGACGCAGCCCCCCCAACTTATTTTAATTGTGCCTTCATCTATAACTGTTTCCCACACAACCTCTTCCACAGGCCCTTGTATCTCGACAGATGAACCTCCCAGACACCATACAACGATTCTTTAGACCATCTTTGAGTCCTTGATAGTGTGCTTGTTCTCGAATCACATCCTTATGTCAAATCTTTTCTGATCACTTACCATCATGGGCTTGTGGTGGGGTCCCCTCTTGGCAGCCCTGTGCTGTTTAGTCCGACCTACAGTCGGTCTGAGAGTCGCGACGCAAAGTTTGATACCATCTATTAGCACGACATCATCTTCGGTCTCATCTTCAGCCTCACTGCAAAGGACTGGCATATCACCGAATCCTGTATCACCGTACTCATATCTTGGATGCTACACAGACGAGGGCCTCGCGGGATCAACATACATATACCAAGTTGGCATTATTGGGGATCCAGTGAGATGTCAAGCTCGTTGCGCTGACCTCAATGCTCTCTTCGTGTATCTGGTTGGCACGGCCTGCTATTGTGCTCCTTTACGCAATATGGTCGTTCCGCGTGGACCAGCTACCAACGATGAGAATTGCAACAGATATCCCTGCAGATCAGACTCAACATCACCTTGCGGCTGCGATTTTAGTCTTAGTTGCCAGGCGCAATACGTCGTGGTTTACGGTGTTAGATCACCCGCAGTCATGTCTCCCAGTACCTCGACGTCTCCCGCATTTGGTTCATCAGTCACCATAAGCCTATCATCCTCCGCATCGTCTCCTCTACCCAGCTCCAGCATAACGGGTTCGTCGGCATCGCTATCACAGATGTTTTCCGGTACATCTGCCGGTGCTCAAAATCCGATGTTGTCCGGCACTACGTTGGTCTTGTCTTCAAGCGGTTCCATCTCACGGTCAACCACTTCCCAGCTGACCAATTCTTCCTCGACTTCAACGACGACACCGATGACGGGCAATACTTCATTCAGTAGTACAAAGCACGCCGACAAGTGATGGAGGCTTCCAGAGCACAGCCTCATCGAGTGCGATGTCTCCGCCCGCACTCACCCTACCGTCCAGCCCGAGCTCGGTAACGCCTAGCAGCTCCGCCATCAGTCCTGTGGGATCTTCTGTTGGTTCTGGTCCTGGTACTGTGTTTAGTTCTACACCAAGTTCTACCACAGAGTTTTCAACAACTTCCCCCGGCGGTTCACCATCAACATCTCGAGTTACCACCGCCAGCACCATCTTCGACATCAGCATTGGAGGGATTTCCGTGTCATCGACTACGGGACCAGATTCATCACCGTCTCCGTCACCCGGCAGTAGCTCATCCCTCGGCACCATCGATAGCTCACAAGCTTTACTTAGTGTTACACTGGTCTTGACAATCAGCCCACTTCAAGCACCTGGTGCCACCCAGACGGGCTTGTAGGCTGTAGTGTGGTGAAGTTTAAAATATCTTTCTTCCCTTCTAACTTTTTTCTTTATAGTTTACTACTTAGAGGCGTACCTTATTAATTACTATATAACTCTTATAAAGAAATATTTAAAAGTTAAGATAGTTTATAGAGTGTTACGACCCGTTATGCATGGATAACAGTTAACCGACCCACTTGGGCGTCGGGCGGCTAGGACAGGACATTTGTACTGCAGGATCACGGGAACAACAGGGACTCACTCGGAACGGAAGAACTATAGTACAGGTCACG